TATATATATATATATATATATATATATATATATACATAATTTAGTTTTTGTCTGTATGTATGCGTGTACATCTACACACAATTGAATACATTTTTAAACCAAACCTTAATATATATATATAATAAAATAAGGTTTAGGGTTTAGGAACGTAATACTTGTGCGTACGTGTTATAAAGCGTATACATACAATTATATTTTAACACACACAGACACAGACACAGACACACAGACACACACACATACATATATATATATGTGTAAATAGAACATCTACTTCTATGATATTTCTTGTCATTGGAGTAATATACGAACACGCTCAAGCACATTCAATAATCCATTCAAATTTGACATTCGACGGAAATTGTATAACACATCTACTTGATTAATTGTGTACAATTACTTCATTGGAGTAAAATGCAAACAATCTTGAGCTCATTCAATAACTCATACAAATTTGACATATAACAGTGGTGCAAGTTTTGAATTGCAGACGCAGAATACATTCTATCGTTACTATTTTGGGATTGCAGATGCACACGACACTCAATGGTACTTACAACTCCGGATACGAATGCGCTGACAATCTTCTTCCCTTCTTCTGCCGGTCGGCCTTGCGACTTCAGGAATCCTCGCATGTAAGGATCGCACGACATGTACCGAACCTCCACAACCACTGCGCCATCTTCCTCTGGCTGGTTGTCTGCATTTACACCACTCAACTCAGTTTCCTTGATCTCGAAGTGCTCTTCTTGGGGCGCTCCAGAGTCCACGAACCCTTTCTGCCAAACTGACTTTACAGCAACCATCTTGTATTTAGATTTATATTACGAGTACACTAGTGACCGATATAGTATGAATTTGTTGCGCTGTCCGTCATTGTTTACGCTTATATAGCCGTGCGACAGTCGCATAGTTCGTAGAGTATTTACAAACTATTTACAAACGACAAATAATTCCCAATCAGGCTTCAACAAGAAGTCGTCAACATTATTTATAATGCAATGATGATTGTATTTATTTCTAGGGTTTTAGGTTTTTTAAATGTTTACTAATTATTTTACAAACAACAGAAGTCACGGGTTGAGTCTATGGCGAGAAAGTTGCCATATATGGTAGGCGGCACGCGACAAACACGGCGGTCGGCGCCGACGGCCCGACGCGCAGCGTCAATTCGGTTTGCTGCCCCACGCAGTAAACGTTGAACGTATATGTAAAAATGATTAAATTTTATACGTTTCTAACGCATAAACCATAGCCTGTGCATAATAAATATTTAAACACAAAACGTTCTCTTGATTGATCACTTGTAAAGTATAAAATAAACAGAGAGCGATACATAAAAGAAAGTTTTTCGAGAATATGCATAGTCGATGGCCGGCGCATATCCGTCATCATTTCTGGTTTTTAGAAAAAGACAAAAACAAAAAAAACGTACACATCCCCCGTTCGAGTCTTCCCCCCCCAGGCCCCAGCCCCAGGACTATTTACTAAATATTAAATATTTGGAGAGGAGTCAAGAGGGACCAGAGACGGCAAAGAGCTGAAACTGGCACTTGCCCATTGCATCTAGGGTTTCATTATTTCTATAGTCACTTTGGGTTTGTGATCCATACATACGTGGATTATTTAAACATTTTAATTTTTCTAAGAACCCGTGTGCGTTGTATGTATGCACACAGCTGGCTTCACGCATGTGCGGTTTCGTGTGCATAGTGGACTGTTGAGCATGTCAGTTATGTGTGGCAATCGGTTTACGTGTATCGTCTGTGTACACTGTACACTGATGTATCGTCTATCTGCACTGAAATGGTGCAGTCATGCAGTGCTTTTTATATAATCACTTCGCCACCGCTTCCCGTCCGGAAACAGCTCGACAAGTATGTGGCGCCAGGCGTCAGCTGGGAGCCCCTCATAGTAAAGCTCATGTTTACAGGTGAAACAGGAGACCTCTGGTTATACTCACAACTAGATGTAACTGTACGCTTCATTCTAACCTGCACGGTCACGGTCGTGTATATATATCACACAACCGCTCCATAGTGACAGCCCAAATTTGCACAACCACTCAATGAATAAGGGTACAAGGTTCTATACATTGGCGGAACCACTACATGCGGGGTATCCTTTTGTTTGATAATGTAACACAAGTAGCGTTTTTTAACTAGCCAGTGCCCACTCGATCACCCAAAGTGCATATACATATATACAAACCTAAATCTAGAATTGATGTGTATTTATGCATTGAATTGATGCATATACATATACATATGCGTATACTTGACACCCACATTGACGCGACGGTAGGTCGGACTGATATTTTTTGTCGTGTACTAATTTCTCTCTCCTTAGGAGAACGATCTATAGACACAGCCGCCACCACAACCAAGTAGCTAACAGTACCACACAGCAACCGCGACAGCCAAGTACCCAACAGGGCTACAGTGGCCCAGTAGCTATCTGTGCAACAGTGGTCAATAACCGAAGAGCGCCCGCAGCCACAGCCATTCGTGACTACGCACTGTTATGATTGAGACCCAGGTTGGTCGTGAATGTCATGTGCACATTTGCTGCAATGGTGGTAGCCTTAACGTTGACCTTGTTGGAAGTCATATTATCGCAGGCACGTACGTAGGTTTTATTGCTACCGTCACGTATGCGTTTAGTTATCATAGCTACAGCACTCATACAGACACTGTATAGATATGCAAACTTCAATTAAATTGTACATATGTGACATGAGGGTTTGTGCAGTTCCCTATATATGTACTGCAATCTTTCAATGCAATGAGAGTGTGGCACATCTCACAGTATCTGACGAATCGAAAGTATTGCGTATATTCCGGTATGAATTCTTATCCGTCGCACAAGAATTGTCCTGATACACAAACGGGCATCGGTTGTTGTTAAATTGTAATCTGCAATGATCTTGACCTGGGGACCATCAGAATACGTTACCGTGGAAGGATACACACACACACACACACACACACACACACACACACACATGTGTGTGTGTGTG